CATGGTGGTATGCAACGTTCACGTCTTATTCCACGAAGACCTTCATTATTTTCTAAACATATATTTATGCTTAAATGTAATGGTGTACAAAATGTAAATACCATTTTGAACAATTTTTTTCTTCGAAGAAAAAAATATAGTGAGTTTATGTTTTGAGATTCCCTCGTTAAATCGTTCTAAAACATTCCAAAGTCTTTCTCAAAATTTGAATGGCTGGAATACATTTGTAAATGTTCTCACTAGTGTAGTTTTTGATTTTTGTGCAGATAAAAATACATATTCAAAATGTGTGGGATCAAGAGAAATGTCCCAAAAAGTGCTAGTTGTCGACTAAATACAAAAACAAGTATTGAAGAATTTTTAGGTGTGATACGAATAAATTCTGGAATAGTATTCTTTAGACCGGAACTGTTACCATGTTAGATTTATCAAGGCCATAAGCGAGACTTCCATCTTGAAGTCTTCACTTAAAACGTAAGAATTTTGGAAAAAAAAGACAACCATGTCCTGCTGAAAGCTCTTATGGATAATCAAGAATAACGTACAGATCAAGTAACACGATGGACAATACAAAGTAAAATGATTGTTGTTCTTTGTGAACAATCATATGTTCAAGAACGTCAAGATAAATATTGGAAATGTGTTGAATTGGGTATAAAATTTTACTCCCCCAGAATTTATAATTGAATCATTAGCTCAATATCAAGTACAAGATTATGCTATTTATAAAGAAGAATCTCAACAAAATGAAGATGATAAAGATGAAAAATAATACAATAGAATATAAAGAACAGAAACTATATTTTACTTATCTTATTTTTTTTCTTTTGTTTGTTTTTGTTTATATTTAGTAAGCAGATAATGTGAAAAAAAGAAGTCGGTGCTACTGAAACGATATATACGTGTGTGTATGTGTAAAAACAAAGAATTATCTCGGTGAAAATGAAAGAGACAAATAAAAGATTTTGTAGTTTTGTTGAAAGTGAGAATCTTTCAAATCTTCTGTTAGGAGATTAGAAGCAATGTAAAATTTGGACTGAATACGTCATGTACAATTTTCTATCAAATGCTGAACTTAAAAAGTCAAAAGAATGATGCTAAAAGGTTTTGTAGCGTTCTCTTGAAAACAGATTTCAATAGGAATTGAATTCATCATCGTGTTCACCATATGAAATAACGTTCGAACACAGCTCTGCAACATGCCCAATATTTCCTACATTGCTTTCTATGTTAACTGTATAGATGATATAATCGATCGAAACGAATACAAAAGTCAAAAAATATTTATATCAAAACTGAATGAAGGTTCAAAGCTTACAGACAGATTATCTGAGATGACGGACAAATCCACATTTGACTCAATCAATGAATATGTTCTTTGAACAGAATCAAAAATAAAAAGTTTTCCAGCAATTCCTCTGGGGGACCACAAGTCTCAAAAACCTTTCAGTCGGCTGTATGAAAACTAATCTGTGGAATATCAACATCTATCATATTTTGCTTTTTGCTACAAAATTCAAGTAGAATAGAAGATAAACTAATTAAAAATTAGCCTGAAAATAGTACCATCTATATAATTTATCTTTTTGTTTTATAGATCCACTGAAGTGACGATTAAAAACAATGCATAGCATAAATTTGCATAATGTCAGCTACCGATTAACAAAAATAAATGTTCAATTATTACTGATCTTTCCTGAGAATTAAATGAGGGCCCTCTTCACAACCTGTCCTCTATACTTCTTTTATTACTATAATCAGCATAAATGTTCTTGGGTTTTTCAAGTATTTTCTATTTTTTGTGACTCAGAAACCTTTTTATTCAATAAAAAGATCATATGGAAAATTAGCACAAGAACCTGCATTAAACCATATATAATGTAATCATGATTCTACTTTTGATCGTGTACTAGGCTTACGAATGACAATTCTAGAGACAAAACAGCTGTTTATTCACAAAAAAAAGATGCCATGTCCACATGACACACTATAAGTGCCGAATGTACTGTCGACTGCGTTTTTCGACTAATTTTACGCTTGAAAGAAAAGTTCGCACGATTGATACCTATTCTGTCGTACAAATGCGAAAAAGTTATAGACTATTTAAAAACGAACCTATCTCTTTAGGAGTGAAAGTTTCGAAACAGAAAATATCGAAATACCGAAAAAAAAGCTGGTTCTGGTCAAATCTGAGCTATTGTTTTTGATTGAGAATCAGTAGTTTATAGAATGAATCTGACTTGTGATTAGATAATTTTTTTGATAAACTCAGAATCATGCTAAGATGGCGAGTATGTAGAACGAAGAATTATCTATCTTTTATTGTTTTTTATTCGTAGAAAAATTCTTTATGCAAGGAGATCAGAACTAAAATTCGATAGAATATTGAATTTTTCAAAGATAGAAATTAGAAGTGCAGTGTGTACACTACAAAACATCCATTATTTTATATAAAAAAATATCCTCGGATACTAATAAATGTCCTAACATTTCTCCGAACGGTCGGTGTACACGCGGGTAGATTCTGCATCTCTACCTACTATAGATATGATAATAATAATGTTAAATTAGGAATAACTGAATACGAAAAAGAAAACAAAAACGAATGAATAGCAACAAGGTAAAATAAAAATTTCAGTTTCAGTCCCAGAAATACACCAGATATCATTCAAGTTTCAGTCGATTGAGAAATGTGATGAGCAGCTACGACCAGGGCCCGCGCGAAGGATCAAATATTAGGGGGGTGTACGGCGGATTGGGGGGGGTGTAAGGAAGAATTTTCAGAAAAATTTTGCAGAAAAATTATAAAATGTAGACAAAATCTGCATTTGTGAACGGAAAAAACTGAAATTTTTTGGTTTTTGGGGGGGTGCACACTCCCCTAAAACCCCCGCTCGCGCGGGGCCTGAGTGTCACTTTTCTGTTTTCCTCATACCAGTCACCCATTTTTTTGTTCGTAGCTTTTTCATTTCTATTCCGTTTATCATATGACATTTTGTTTGAATTTATTTCATTTTTCTTTCATATAGTCTATGAAGAGCTGATATAGTTCATTGATCGATACTCTTATGCAGATGACTCGCTATAGGTCGAACGTGATTGACCATGTCAGTCTTGCATCTTTCTATTATTTGTTTAAAGCAAAATAGAATTTTCGTTGTTTACTTTTTCTACTTACGTCAGCAAAGATAAGAAACAAGCAAATAGCATTAGTTAGATATTATTAATAAGTTTTGATGATATATATGACGTTTTACAAAATTTCTCATCCACTCCGTTCTTTTTGTATTTTTCCAGAATCTAAAGTTAGATGGAGATTGAGAATATTTATTTAAAAAGTAACATCTATAGTATTATCCAAAATTTACATATTCAATCCAACTGCCATCATTAATAAGAAAGTGCTTTATTGAAAATCATCTTAAAATGATTTCATCAGACCATTTTTTTAAATTCATTGATATTATTTTTTTTTTTAATCTTAACCATGTAAAAACTGACATCTGCTCCTACTTGAACATTCGACTATATAAAATACAACTGATAAAATTGTTTTAATATTTAATAAATGCTTTTCAATACTGCATCTTTTTAGTGATGAAAGCAGTTTAGTGAATAAAATTTGGATGCTTGCTTAGATGTAGTATTCAAAATGTATCCTCAAACTTTTGCAAGTTGGGACTATTCCACACATATAACAAATGTAAAAATGGATCCAAAACTTATTAAGCATTTTTTTATATATTTACTTTCACGCAATGCCTCATGGTTATATGAGATTTTTGTAGTTAGAGTAGTTTCTATGATACATTTGAGCAGGGCTATCTTCTCTAACAATTTATTCAGTTTAGAAGTCAAAGAAATCGTAATTTCAACGAAAAAAATTAGCTAAAAGTGCATATTTTTGCGCGCTCATAACGCCTTAAATTTTTCAATGAGTATATATTCGTAAGAAAATTTCAACGCGTTATGAACACTCAACAATGTGCACTTTTTGCCATTTTGTTTTCGCTAAAATTCCGACGCGTTGATCGAATTGTTTTAAATTTCCAGCATCTTCCTCTATGGAAAAATATTTCAAATGAATGATGTAGACTACTTCATTTCTAATATATATGTTACGATGAGAAATTACATACAATCCTACGCATGGAGTACAGAACAACATTACACCTTCATTTTAAACAAGAATGCCCATTACTCTTCATCTTTCACACATTCAAACCCAACTACACAAAATGGCCGTTCCCTCGGGCACTTCTTGTCACATTTCTTAACTACTTCTCTATACGATGGCGCCTCTGTCTGCTTTTTTTACTGTTCTGTATGACCACCTAACGACCAATCTGATACCACATTATATACAGATCTTTATGTACTGCATACTGATATCATACATAATGACAGGGTAAAAGAAATATTTCATTCATACTTTGTGCCTCACTAAGGAATAATACCATGATCCTCATTCTCTCTTCATCTCTCTCATAGCCCGACGTCCACTTTTTCACACAGACGCTCACAACACTAAACCTTGGAAGCTTTGAATTCAGAAGCAATACAATCGGAAACAAAGTAGTACAACATCTGGCTGATGCATTACAATATAACACGGTGACCCTCATTCTCTCTTCATCTCTCTCATTTCCTCATCTCCACTTTTTCATACAGACACTAACTACACTCAATCTCTTCGGGAATCTAATTGGTGACAAAGGAGTACAATATCTAGCTGTTGTATTACAATGTAACACGGTGACCCTCATTTTCTCTTCATGTATCTCATTTCCTCATCTCCACTTTTTCACACAGACACTCACCACACTCAATCTCTCCGGGAATCATATCGGGGACAAAGGAGCACAATATCTGGCTGATGCATTGCAACATAAGACAGTGATCCTCATTCTCTTTCATCTCTCCCATTTCCCTATCTCTACTTGTTTACACAGACACTAACCACACTCGATCTCTCCGGGAATCATATTGGAGATAAAGGAGTAGAACATCTAGCTGATGCATTGCAATATAACACGGTGACCCTCATTCTCTGTTCATCTCTCTCATTTTCCCATCTCCACTTTTTCATATAGACACTTACTAC